CACACAGACCCAAAGCTACCATGCGCAGCAGGGTGATGAAAATAAAAGACCGAATTACGCCGAATGAACAATCTGGACTAGTGTATCACATCCCATGCCTAAGCTGTGCTTGTAATTACACAAGCCAAACTGAACGCATGTTCAGATCACGCACACATGAACACAAGTTGGCCGTGTGACGAGGCGACGAATTATCACAAGTTGCAGCTCACACATATGAAACAGGCCATGAGTTCAACTTTGCGGCTGTCAAGGTACTCGCCCACGCCGGAAAAAAGACGAGCAGGGAACTGATTTAAGCCTGATCCACGGACGGGAATTCAGTCAACCGATGTGTCGAAATGTCGCCGGCGTACAGAGCATTGTGCAATTATTTACACTCACGGCCAGACATATGTCATAATTAATTGGGCCCGCATCCTCTATAATCGCCCCATTTTCGTTGCTGATGTGGCCAATCGGCGCCCACGCCAAACAGATATCGATTTCTACGCATTCAAATTTTAACTGTTTTATACACACGTCATAACCAGCCACTCTTTTGTTGCTGTTTCCTTTTATCTGACGATGGACTCCTGCATGACTTCGAAAGCTCAGAACAATACGCAAATCAATCCGGTTTTCGACTATTTTTCCTCTTTACCGACGCAGATACCTAGAAAGCGAACATTCTCCTTCATTCGTGAGTTTTTCTTATACTTTTCTCGGCCTATAGGCTTCTTCTGCTAACCAATAGAAATTGCTCTTACAGACTTCCTGGCCTTTTTGTTCATCCATAGACCTTTCACCTACGTTTCAGTTCAGTAAAACAGTTACAAGCGGCTTTAATTTATTTCCTACTGGGCACTTATCCCGCATTAACTACGCCCTAATCAGGCATTACACCTTTAACCACGAATTCCAAAAGACACTTGGGCTGGGAGACTTTTACCATTGGGCGGCCCTGAGATGAATCAATACCTTCCCTCGCACAGTGTGTAGTCTTCACAGACTGAAACTGAAGCGGACTCAGACGTCGCGATTCGGAAAAACGCAGTTGTCTTATGTGAAACAGGGTCTGGATAATCTACGCGAACGGTCGCAAAGACAGTCGACTGAACTCAGTTGAGCGCAAGTTTGGGGTGCAGGTGTCCTCGACAAAGCCTATACTCCACCAAATTAGGTGCGGTAGGATGAGCAGAAAAAGCGAACAGTCCCTAA